CTGGACATTAAGCTCTGTTAAGAACATCTTTTCTCATTGTTTCCAGTAAATTTTCTTAGGTTTTCTCTACTTCCTTGGACCATGAATCCTAATTTAACTCACCTTGTCACATCAATGCATGACGAAGAAAATGGTAGTAATTGAAAATATTTTGTACATATATTTTGAAGAAGATGTATGCCTGAGCTTATATGGTCACATTATTGTGCTCATATGTAGTTCTGAAAAATTGCTGGCATCTTTTGATGTCATATAAAAGTTAAATGCTGGGTTTCATTATAACAAGTTTTGAGGTGCATTGAGGCTCTCTGGGATTTTACGAAAAATGTTAGATTATAATAACAGTTTTGTAACTTATGTGAGTTCTTTAATGTTTATCCAAGTTTAGCTCAACTCTTCTTCATTGATTTGACTTTTTTACAGCATTTGATTTGTTTCACTGACATAAACATCTGGAAGGTTTAGTTTTTCTTGTCATTCTATAGGAGGTCAAGAGTTAGGTGAGTTAAAACTTGATGAGTGAAGTAGACAGGTTGTAACTTCTGTTGCTGCTGAAAGTTGGTCAATATGAACTCTTGAAACAGATTGTTTTGTTTGACTAAATGTGTGTGTGTATATATATATATTGTGCATGCAGGTTTGTTCATTTTTAGATGCCTTGTATATGTGTATATATATTGAGCATGCTGGTTTGTATTTCTGGATGCCATGTTGCTGTTATAACATGGCTCCCACCTGTGTGCTTCTTGTTTTGCTTCGAGTTTTGAGTTTTAATTTAGTCATTTGCTTCGAGTTTTGAGAAATTCTTGGATGGTCCTTTTCTCATGTCACAAATTGTTGTTCATGGTTCTTACATCATTTTAGGCAATAATGTAACTAATACATTTGCTCTCTGTCCACTATTTTTTTTGTTTTTGTCATGGAGGGCCGTTAATGCCAAACATTTATGATTTTGATTGGGTCCACTGAGATTTTCTGCAGAAAACTTAGGTCAACAGCTGGAGGATTTCATAAATGATGTAACTTCTCAAACATGCCTGCTGTATTATTATTTCCATGTCTAGCACAAGAATAGGGATTCTTTCATGCCATGCTGTAGTTATGAAGAGACAATGACATGTATTCCAAATACATTAGCTCCTTGTGAATCACAGGGAGGGTTTGGACAAAAGTGGTAGATTTTACCTTGTAAGAGTTCCTACTATGGTTCTTTATTTTTCTCTTTGAATATTCAAAAATGGTTGAATTATGTAGGATTTAGTTTGCAGACATCAGCACTTTAATTTCAAAAGATAATCTAGGTTTTTGTAAGGTTTATAAACCATAACTATGTGAATTTTGCTGTCATATATGATGTAAGAGAGCCCAGCTACTGATGATTAAATTTTCTTTTGGTTTCGAAAGAATTTAGTACATAATAATTGACTTTTTTACTGGCTCAGACTGTTCTGAATTGACTTTTGACAATGGGAAATAGAAAGTAGAAAAACGATCCAACACGAGAGACTTCGAGAAACTGTTGGGGGCTCGTCGTTCAACAAACGATCCAACACGAGAGACTTGGAGAAAGAGAAGCAAGCAACAGGAAGGTCATAATAATTGATATTTATGCACTGTATGTTCGAGGGTGAATTCGTGGCTGAAATCCCAAGCCTCTTCGAGAACCCTCCGAATTCCCCTGCAAATGAAGGACTTCTAGTCAAGATGGTGTTCGATCACTTATCAAAGCTATTATTCACCATTTCTTGTATGAAAAAGACTGGATTTAATTAATATATTACAAATTACATGATTTAATTACTCTCCTGCCATCTGTTTTTTGTCTTTTGCAAAACTATAAATATTATACTGAAAAACAAAATTTCTCAATTGGCTTAGGATAAAACATCAAGAAAAACAAATAACAACATTATCATTCTTTATGAATAAAAAACAATATCATTTTATCGTTCATTAGAAAAGTTGCTGTCAACAGACATAGACATCAACAACAACACTATCATCATTCTTTCATGGATGCAGGGAACTGAATTGACAATAACAAAATTGTCAAACAATTTTACAAGCTGAAAGGCGCAGGCACTTGCAATACATGACCAGAGACCAGCATTAAAGGATGGACGTGCTAAATCTGCAAATGAAATATTGGGTGGTCAGAACAGCTAATGAACATCCTACGAATGCCAAATCACGTAACACCAGAAAAAGGTATGAATGATAATATAATCACAGAAAAGTTACATCTAATAGTGTCAGTCAACAATGGGAGTGTCCTTGGGCTCCCAGCTAGCATCTATTGTGAAGTTCTGTACCACCACTAATGCCACTACCAAGCTTGCTTTTGTGGCGCCTCAAAATTGAATGGTTTAGACGAATAGAGCACGCTTTTTAGTGGTGCAGAAGTAGTAGAGTACTTGGTTAAGGACTCCCAAGATAGATGCAGAGGTTTGATCAAGTCTTAACTAGGTTAGGACTCTCTTCCTAATGCTTTTAGGGATGAAGTCCTAATGAGGTAAGTTAGGATTGTCCCTTGCTGATATCAACACCCTCTTCCTCAATTTGGCCACCTACTTTTTTTCCCAATCCGAGTCTGCTATAGGTTGGAGCTCATTCGATCAAACTTTTGGGCTTAGAATTGAGCTCAAGCAGGGTTCAATAGGATTGAGATTAAATCTGAGTTTCAAATCAAAGTTCAATTAAGTCAAATTGGAGTTCAACACAAACTCCGATAGAATCAAATTGGAGCACGACCCAAAATTCATAAGATCATCACAATCATTCAATGCTCAACCTTCTGGCATGGGGAGAGGATCAAAGGTTATACAACACTAAAAATCTCAACTCAATGCGTTTGAAAGAAATTAATTATGCTTGACGTGGGAGCATATTTGATTTATGTCTTAGAATCATAAGCTTCGATTTTATTATGGCCAAGAAACCCAATATTCAAATCTTGGTATTAGTCTTACCATATGTAATTCAGTTTGACTTTTGAAGGATGGGTACCACATATGCTCCACTCAAGTTAAAAATTGATTTTGACCATAAATTTCTACTTCATTGGCCTTCAAAACCCTTCCCTACAGCAGTGCAATTCGCATCAAGAACATAATAAGCCATGAAAAGAAGAAGCTTGAGTGAGGCACAAAGGGTAATGCTAACCTTCAAAGGTCCCATCAGAATTTGAAGAATTATACATTTCTTAATCGTCATCATCCTCATCTTGATTGTTTGTGTGGTTGATCTTCTGAGCACGATACATTTCAGCAACCTAAAGAATCATGATCAGACATCTTCAAACATACAGCAGCAACAAATGGAAACATCAAAAGGCTTCAAGGCCTACAAACTGGAAGCCCCATGTTACCTGCTCAGATGTTGTAGCTTCTTCAGGGCTTTTGTCATCACGGACATGTAGTAAGCGAGGAAATCGAAGTGAAATTCCCTTTTGAAATATGGTACAAAATTTAATGCAACAGAATCCATGAGCCATTAAGACTACAAATTTGCAGAAAGAATGACGAGATGAAAACACACACACATTCTTAATCAGATTTTGTTATTACACTAACCTTGTTTGGATCGACTATACCATTAGCAGCACGGTGAACAGGACTGATGCTCAAATCTGCTGCTTTAACCTCCCAAACCTGTCATAGAATCAAAACCAGAAATGAGTAATTATTAAATGAATTTCATGTGAAATGCAAATAACTACTACCAGTGAACTTGCAGTTGTGTCCAAAGTAAACATTAGCATGCACAAGGATCCTTCAAGACTTATCATGTCGATAATAATAGTGCAGTCCAATTACAGTTGGCAAGCCCACCTTGAAAGACAGGAAAGTAATAAGATGCTCACTCTTCATTGATTAGTATAACCTTTCTGTCTTTCTGTCTTTCCTAACCTTTCTGTCTTTCAGAGCTCTAGCACTGGCCCACCAAAAACTGTCTAATTTATTTGTTTACTTCAATCCGATTATTGTAACCAAGGTTATTTGTTTAAGTAAACATGGTTCTGCTCAATATTTTCTAACAACAAGCCTCTAAGAACAAGAATTTCCTCATTATTGTAACCAAGAGCTAAGCTAGTGCATCAGATTTTAAAATAAAGTATGCAATCTAGCATTAGATGATCTCAGATAAAGAAGCACACAATATCATAGTATTGTAGTTACCTCTGATGGCTCAAACCATACATCTGGATCCATTGTATCTGAAAACCGATAATATGGCTGGAATTGAAAGGTTGAAAAGGTCATACAACAGATGAGGTGTGAGAATACACACCATTACAATTCACATATCAGTTTTATAAAATTCTTTAGAAAATGCTAGCAATATAGAATCACCTTAGGCTTTGGAATTATTTTATTACGAAGACTTGTTGATCGTTCTTCAAGCTGTGATTCAGAGAAACCAGTACCTACAGAACGCCAGTAACAAATTCATACAGCATAATTAAATATTGCAGTTTTATAAGATTTTGCACCAAAATGTTGCTGGCTTACCTATGTTACAGATGCTTTGATATTCTTCATTATGTTCATCGTAGCAAGCAAGAAGAAATGAGCCATAAACACCTAACAAGAAATAAGTATCTTAAGTAACCCCAAATAGGGCAAACTCGAGCACAAAATCATCTGTGTGACAATAAATAAAAAAGGAAATAAACATGATATAGAACATAGCAATACTACAGCATAAGCATTGTTCAGTGTTGAGAGCTTATCACTAAACAGTCAGTTACCTGTCCGCTTTCCCCGACCATGGAATGCAGCAATAGGAACCAAATCAAGTGAATCACCAATGCTGCATCAATTGCTAGTGTCAAAATCATAAGGGAAGCAAAAATCTCAAATCATGTTAGATGACATCTGCATGAATCGAATTTGACACCCAAGTGTTGCCTACAAACAAGATGGCAAAATGGATTGTCAGTCAGCACGAAAGCTAGTCGGTTAGCTAATGGAGACCTTAGAAATATGCCACTAGCGATCTGTGAAATTTCCTCTTCTTTTGATAGTTTTGTCATTACAAGTACGAGAAAATAAGAGATGGTCAAAACCAAAAATGCTCGAGTTTTATGTAGCATATCAAAGGTTTTCATTAATTACAGATCTCAATGACGGCAAAAGATTCATGTGGCCGATCCCAAATAGTTGGGACTTACGATTTTGTTGTTGGTGTATCTATTTCCATGCATTACTCAGAGAAATTAACAGGATAGACAGCCAAATACTAACAACAATTACATAGAAAAGGGAAAAAAAAAGCAATCACCTTTCCATATAATCTTTCTTCAACTTCAACCAATTGTTTGACCGCTTTGAAGGCTCATATGTAGCATCCTTATCCAATGTCTTGATAATCAATCCTTCGCAACTTCATAAGCAAAAGCATTTTAGCTTTAGGAAAGCATGAAGATGGGTTCTTTGCTAAAACAAGAATAATAACACTGAGAACATTAGAAGACAACCAAATTAATACCGTAAAGACTCAACAAAAGAATTTTAGATGATGCAAAGTGCAAACTCACATGCCTATTTATAAATAAATGCTGACCACAAACTTAAACAACAGACCATCACCACAGCATTTTGATATCCCCAACCTACAGAGTTATCTTATTTCACATCACCAAAAAGAATGTGAAATGCGCTGTAACATAAAAATGCAACTGCAACTCCTTTTACTCACCTATGAAAGACATGCACAGACAGGTCAAATGCTGATGACAAACTTAAGAATCACACATTATCACGGAATTTTGCTACTGTCCATCATACTAAAACAAGATCTTTTTTCTACATCATGAAGAAGATGTGAAATGCAATGTAGCATAAAAAAATGCATTTGTAACCCTTTTCGCTGATATCTGAAAGGCATGCACATCTACCCATCTCCCTACACACAGCTATAATACTTCAGAATGCCATCGAGTACATTCTAAAATCATAAAATCTGTCAACATCTTGGAACATGAGATATTAAATTTCACTCTTTGTTGCAATTTATTTGATAATGAGAAGCAGCCTTATAGACCGTTTGTCATGGTCTATATTTCTCGTACAAAGTTCCACAATGTAAAGACATATCACAGAAAAGGAAGAAAATTGTTATTGACATAGAAGACAAGTATAAAGAGGACAGATCTTGAATCCACCATGAGAACAAATTTTACTTCAAACCAATCTTTCATCTAAATATTAAAGTTCAGTGTTGCATACTAAAATAATTTACCAGCTGAGGTTGGATCAGTTGACAAATCTTCAAACCAAGGAATGAAATTTCAGGCAGCACGGCAAGAAATTATTGGTGTTTACTGGTCCTATCTGCCGCTGATACGCGAAACAGGATCGAACCAGTTCAGGCCCAGTATAACATGTGGCGGCAGTACACCTTTGTATCACCAGATGCTGGCTGGTACAGGTTGGTAACAGATCAAAGATCAGTACCAACCCCTAACAACAAATTGACTTCAATTTGATTTGACTATTGGGACTTCTTTGTGGCTTGTCTAAGCCCCTTTAGCTGTCTCCCTACCTCCTCTCTCAGTCTCTTTCTCACTCAATACAGGGCATGGACAGAGAAGCAGTATTTTACATATGCTAAGACTCAAACCACAGGACTCGGGGCTCCACACAGCTCATCTATGGTTGCAAGGATAAAGGAAAGAAAAGGCTGTCGATGAATTTGAGCATATGCGACAGCCTCTATGATGTCAGGACCGATAGGGTTTAATCGTACTTGTAGTCTTCATGTTACAAAGGATTACGATCTCAGAGCCAAAAGATGAATAATAACAACTGGTCTTTTTCTAGACGTTAATTCAGGGTCAATAACGGAAGCTCTACTGTACTCTAACCTCTGTAGCCCTACAAGCTACGGTCATATTTCGATCCAAGCAAGCAAACCTATTCGATATAGGAACATGTGATAGAGTCCTTCGATGGATCCACAAAGATAAGAATTTTTAGTTTTAATGCTTAGCCACTATGCAATTTGGTTTCATATTAGCTTTGATTTACTTTATTGTTATTTAACTTGATCATATAAACCAAGAAAATATGAAAAATAATCTTGAAATATGGTTCTTTTCTAATTTTCTAATTTTCTAATTTTAGGCCAAATATAAAAATACACAACCGAATATCATTGCTGCTTGCAATAGCATCTAATGTGCTTTTCCCACCTAAGGCAGGTAGAGACTTAATGCTCCTATTGACATCATGCTGGTGACCTTTCATCTGTTCATAGCTATGAGTCTACTTCTTCATATCCCTACATTTACTGTCTCATTTCTATAAAACAAATGCTTTTGAAAACATCAGATTTAAACATATTCAGTAGTAAGTCTGTCGAGATTATAAAGTCAACAACGGCAACCTATTATCATTGGCACAACTATATGGAAAATAAGTGTTGGTGTTATCAACAATAAGACCATAAAGAGGCCAAAATTGAATTGAAGTCATAAGTAGCAAGAAAAAAATGTCCAGATGAAAATAAATTTATACTTGAGCAGCAATACCAAACCAAAAAAGACGTCTAAAGCTGAAAAAATGACTTAAAAATTTACAGTATATATTTCTTCCATACTGTCACAATACCTGGTGTTGACAGCAGTGTCAAGGAATTTCTGTATTTCCTCGAGATCATCTGATGTTATTGCAGTTGCAAACTGAAAGACTCCAGGTACTTCTTCAAAGGAACCATAAAGGTGCTGCAAAATGGCACACACATCACAAAGTACATTTAGATGTCAAGCCAAATTTGATTCTTAGTAACGACAATAATATTTTATTAGTAACAACAAATAACTACCTGTTTGCTGTGATGCAGTACAGAACAAAAAAAATACAAAAGAACATGCTGCAACAACACGTTGAACAGGAGTACTTGATGCAAAAAGTTATCAAAGTGCAGATTAAGGATATCACTTAACTATCTAGAAGCATATATCAACCTGAAAGTTAACATATGTGCATATTGCCAAATTGCATAGATAGGCTATGGAGCTCCAGCCTAAACTAACGCGCCTGCATTCTCCACAGACTCAACCACTAGATTAACAGGACTGCTCAGTCCTTTTAGTCGAACAAAGATGTTCAACCCTTAAAACTGACTGGACCTTGGCCTAGGCCAAAATAAGCTCTAAAGCCCTTTCTTGTGCAGGACAGGCATTGGAAATAGATCCAGACCACATCTCTAGCTCCAGAAGGCATCCAGGACTTTGGAAACGTAAAGAGGCAAAAGCAAGAGGGGGGCAGAAGAGATCGTTCATTTTTAGTCTTGTCTGTTTTATTTAGACTATTTAGGACTTAGTCATTGGAATACTACAAATTCAAGGTCTATGTCCCAAATGATGTAAAACAGTTTTTTTTATTTTTCAGAATTTTATGAGCATTATTAGTTTCTTTAATTATCAATCTAGAACCCTTGAGACCTACTTTCTCAACATAAAAAAAATTCTAGTTAGGAAGGGCTGTTCTTTACCACATAACAGGAATTTTCACTGCTTATATTATAAGTGGTGCCTTTTGTCAGATACTGTAATTCATGATTCATCTGCATTTATTATCATATAAAACAGCTGTCATACAAGATACTGAATCATAATTTTAAATAAAAAGCAGAAGTGCATCAACTGTAGTATAACACAATTTTTACTTTGTGAATGCAAATATTTCCACTTGAGAGGACTAAATTAACAATTATTTTTGAAGAACATACAGATGGAATATCAGTTAGTAGAAGCAAGAATCACACATGTAAATAAGCTAATTATAAATATCTACCTCTCGACGAACTTTCAGTTGCTCCTGAAGTAGAGGTTGGCCATTTACATACAGAATGTCAAAGGCAAAGGTGCAAACAGCTACTTTTATGTCACTTAAGATCACTCCCTTCCGAGCACGAGTGCTCAATATCTGCAAGGAGTCATGATGTGAATAGCTCATTAGACCTGCAGCTGAAGGTACTATGTTCTTTGAGTATGTTTGGTTGCAAATGGTATATATATGAAAAACAAATTTGTATTATGCATTAGCAAATACAATTTTTTATTGCATAATATGTACATTATAGCAATTATTTCAAAAAGAAGTGAGCACAGCCATTAACCAAAATTATCATATAGTCTGTATATTCTTCATACATGCAATAATACTTTAGATCACTTTTAAGAGATTGGGACCGCTTGTTTTTTTAGGGCAAACCACATCTAAACGTTGGATCTGTCAAGTGAAGAAAACATTTGAAGCTATCGAATGCAAGGAAAATCAAACGGTGCCTTTTGCTTATTTCATTTTAGAAGGGATGGCAGACACTTGATGAACCTCAAAAAGGAGGATGTTGGAGGCAATGTGGTGGCTTGGGAACAATTTAAGAATGCATTCTATGAGCACTTCTTCCTTGATTCAATTCGCTTTGAGAAGCAACAAGAATTCCCTAACATCCACCAAGTAGGACTATGATGGAATATGATCATTATTTCACTTAGCTGGTCCAGTTCTCTCCATATATTTAATAAACATCAAAAAGCTCATCACTTTGAGAGGAGACTTTGTCCGTCAATTAAAAAGTCCATTGCTGTATTGATTTTACCATCATATGCTGAAGATCTCAATCAAGCTCTGGTGGTGGAAAAATTGGATAATAAGTTACAACAGACAAAAGATCGAAAGCGACCTCTTAGTGCTGCACCATCTGCATATGGGGGATAACATTCAGGACCCTCAAAGAAAGGCAAGAGCAGATAGTTCGAACATCAACAGGCAAGAGCTCCCAATAATCAAGTTGTCATAAGATGTTATTTCTATGAGAAGACTGATCATGTTTCCATCTTATGCCACGTGGGACTGAATGTATGCCTCTTTATCAACAACCCGAGCACATGTTGAAGGACTGCCCACGGAAGCAATATCAACGTTGAGCTCCACACCAAACATTTGGACAACTAGAACTTAGAGGGGGAGGTCAGGCGAGGGTATATGTACTCACCCATTAAGATGCTAAAGCATCAGGATTTATCGTTCAAGGTATAATCACACTCTGTGGTATGCCTGCTTCTGTGCTTATAGCAACTGCTTCTATAAGGGTTGTTGATCTAGGGGTAAGAAAGTAACAGTCTTTTAAAAACAATCGATACTTGCATATTATGTTGAATGTCAATCCATACCCAATAGCATCAAAATCTCAAAACTCTAGTAAAATAAGATCTACTAGCAAATCGTGACTTTCAATAGTAATAACCCAATTTCTAAATATCTGATCAGCTATCAAAGAGTTTCCAACTGATGTTGCTATTGTTAACACATTACTCATTGTCTCAGGATTCTTATACAGTCTCATAGCAAAATAAGATGATATAAAAGAATGTATAGAACAAGTTGCTACAAGCACAAAAACAGACATACCACAGAGTGTGATTATATATTGAATGATAGATCTTAATGCTTCAGAATCTTGATGGGTGACTGTACAGACCCTCGCCTAACCTCCCCCTCTAGGTCCTGGTCGTTATTGTCCAAATGTTTGGTGTGGAGCTCGCTGTTGATGTTGCTTCTGTGGATTATCCTTCGACATGTGCCCCGGATGTTGACAAAAAATACATACACAAAAATAACATCTTATAACGACTTGATAACCGAGAGCTCCTACTTGCTAGTGTTCGGATTATCTGCTCTTACCTTTCTCTAAGGGTTAAGAATATGATCCCCCATACGCAGATGGTGCAACACTAAAAGGTCATTTTCGATCCTTCACTTGATGCAATTCATTATCCAAAATTTCCACCACCAGAGCTCGATTGAACACTTAAACATATGTCGGTAAAATCAATACAACAACGAACTTTCTAATTGACAGACAAAGTCTCCCCTCAAAGTGATGAGCCCTTTGATGTTCATTAAAAGCAATATGTGGAGAGAACTAGGTCAACTCAGTGAAATAATTATCATATTCCATCACAGTCCTTCCTTAGTGGATGCTAAGGAACTCTTGTTGCTTCTCAAAGCAAACTGAATCAAGAAAGAACTGCTCATAAAATGAATTCTTAAATTGCTCTCAAGTCACCACATTACCTCTTGCCTATAACATCCTCCTTTTTTAGGTCCACCAAGTATCTGTCTTTCCTTCCAAAATGCGAAAAGCACCTTCTGATTTTCCCTACATTTGATAGCTTCAATTGTTTTCTCCACTTGACGAATCCAACATTCAACAAAGATTGGATTTGGTTTGCCCTAAAAAACAAGTGGTCTCAATCTCTTAAAGTGGTTCAAAGTATTATTTCCACCCTGCAGAGCTCCATCTCGCTCCCCCTACTGCTCAAATAAGCCTCTAATAGCATTGAAGACTCTGTGTACATAATCTGGAACATTGATAGGTGCTGGAGCATGAGGTGCATTCTACGATGTCGGGTAAGCTGGCACATAATCAATGATAGGTGTATGTGAGGACTGAGTTTGCTCTACGATGCGTAGAACTTCAAAATTATGGTTTGCTTGAACACCTCTCCGAGTGCGTAGGCCATTAACATTGCAACCATGAGCACCCCGAGCGGCAAGACCACTATTCTCTTGAATTGGCTCCATTATTCCTATAATAGGTCAAAGACAATCATCGGTCAAAATCAATTAAAGGACACAAATACCTATAGGCCCAACCTAGCCCAATATTATACAACTTAGCCCATTGCCCTTATTTTATTTTATTTGGGCCCAAACATTGATTGAACCAAACTAGATTTGATCAGTTTAGATCGATCCAAGATGATTCCAAATTGGTTTGTTTAACCAAAATTGAACCCAATCTGATCCAAATTATACTAGTCTAGGATGGTTCCAGACCGATTAAATGAGGATTAAAGATCGACTTAGGTAGGTTCTAGTTAAATCAAATTCAATTGGACTTGAGTGCCCATGTCAATTGAGTGCAATTTGATATTATTTGACATTAATAATGTTTAAATGAAATATTTTAATATATTATTTTATCCCAATATAGACATAACTAATATGAGATGATATTGTTTCCTTACGAAGGGCAGGTAGGACGATTCCCTTTGAGGATTAACGTGCCCCTAGACGTGATAATTGGATGGTTCCTCCCTTTGCTGTTGGGAGGAACGTGTTTTCACTTTAGCGAGTGAGGGACATCACTCCATCTTTTGTTGGAAATGCGATATGAGTTTGTCTACATTCGTTGTTGGGAGAACACAAACTAATCCCGTAGAATAAAGCCTCTCAATCCGCTGTTGGAAGACTGCTCCTTCGGGTGTTTAATATATGCAAATTACTATATGCAAATGGGATGATTGACTTTTGATCATGCATTCATTTTACAGTTGACTAATAAAGGTTCTTACTTAGCGTTGATGAAATTTCTTTGTTTTTGATATTTAAAGCAGCCTCCCAGTAGCGCTAGACTGAATTTCAATGGAGAGCAAACCTTCCTCTACCATTAGAAAGAGCTAGTTGGATTTATTTTCGAGCTAACATTATTGTATTTCTCAATAAAGCCTATGACTACTTGTGGAAAGATTTACAAGTTATACATATTAAAAAAGTGATGTTCATTTATTTGGCTCTAGATGTACTTGTGGAAAGATGTTATGATCCTGTAAAAAGAAAATCCATGATGTGATAGCTTTTTATGGTATCGGAGCTTTGAGAAGCAATAAGAGTTCCTTAGCATCCATCAAGGAAGTAGGATTGTAATGGATTTTCCAGATGTTTTTCTTGAAGATATGCTTGGATTGTCACTTGACAAGCAGATTGAATTTACAATCGATCTTCTAACCGGCACTGCACCTATTTCTAAACCCCTTTATAGAATAGCACCGATTGAGTTGTAGGAGTTAAAAAAACAAATCCAAGAGCTTTTGAACAAGGGCTTTATTCGACCCAATGTATTACCTTGGGGTGCCCCTGTCTTATTTGTGAAGAAGAAAGATGAATCCATGCGGTTATGCATCGATTATAGATAACTTAATCAAGTGACCATAAAGAATAAGTATCCCCTTCCCCGAATAGATAACATATTTGATCAACTTCAAGGTACTCGAAGATTGATTTGAGGTTTGGGTATCAACAACTGAAGATAAGGGAATGAGGTATATAGAAATCTGCTTTCAAAACAAGATATGATCAATACAAGTTATTTTTATATTAAAAAATATTATATGAAATTCCAAAATATTCTTTTATTCCTTTAAATGTCAAAATTGTATTGTTCGATTAAAACATGTTATATGAAGTTTCTAAAATCTTCATTTATCGCCTTAAAGGTTTAGAATTTTATTTTTAGATTAAAACATATTGAAATTATTCATATCATATGCATTTTTAAAATTTTTATCTTGAATGCATGATATTTGATATTTCCTCGTTATGCAATTTATCTTTTTAATCTATTGTTATTTATTATGTTTAGTGACTTATTGCCAATGAATATATGCTTGATTATAATTCAATGATGTTGCAATTCGAAATTGAGAGAATTGGTTAGGATTTGAATTGAAATCAAACAACAAACTAGACCTGGCCCATAGGCTAGGCCCAGTCAATAGGCCAACCCCAACCCGTAGGTCAAGCCCCACCCCGCAGACTAGCTCAGCGTAGCCCAACATGGGCAATCATGTTCGGTGCACATGACCTGTCATGACTCGAGCCTGATAAACTAACTGGCCCATCAACTTCAGTACACTCATTAGACCTTTATAAACTAATCTTAGTCTCATTCACTTTCAATGTGAGGCTAATCAAAGGTGTTACAATCTCCCCCACTCAAGGACTTAATGTCCTCGTCAAGGTCTAGCATAGCCCAGATCAAACCTTAACATGATGCATGTAAGGCATAGACTAGTGGTGGCTCCATACTGTGACGAGTCCTCTGACTCCATCAACGAGTAGCTCTATCCTACTCGAGCCCCCTCACCATACCCAAATACTAGGTCAGCGCTGATACTAAATATCATGATCGAGCCTGATAAGCTAAATGGCTTATCAACTTCGTTTGATTTAAATCACTGGTCAAAATGCTTAGGCTGAAGTTGATAGTAGTACACTCATCAAACTCTTATAAGCTAATCTTAATCTTATCCACTTTCGATGTGGAACTAATTGGGAGAGTTACATAAATGATCTCCTAATAATGCATAACATTTTTTTGCCTGTTATAGACCTTTTTCTAGTATAAAAGAATGAAGAAACTTCAGTTGTATTAAAAGAGGAATTAGCAAGTTCCATCCGCCGTCTTGAGAAAATATTTATTCTTCATTTTATTCTTCACTTCAGTTCGTTTCAAAATACTTCAATTGGTACGCGCAAACTAGTTCTAACCGAACTTATAGTTAGCACTAAAAACTTTGCAATTCACTTCAACTTTTTTAAACAATGGTCGAAAGTTGCCCAAAAATAGATTAAAATTTTGAAGAACATATAGCTTTGGCCCACTTACAATGGAAGACTAAGCAAACCAAAAATTGACAAAAATTCCTTTGGGCTAGGCCGAAACATGGTCAAAGAAAAATTACAGCTAAAATCTTATGCTTGAGGGACATTAGTGTTAACCATCTAGAACAATTCATATCTTGCCAGACAAAAGACAGTTAACAAAGCAAAATAATAGGCCAATTTATTCACATTCATATGCAACTAGAAAAACACAATCAAATTAACTTCGGACCACTTACAATGAAAGACTTAGCGAACTAACAAATTAAAAAAATTCCTTTGGGTGAGGTAGGCACATGGTCAAAGTAAAATGGCAGCTAAAATATTATGCTTGGGTAACCATAGTGTCAACCACCAAAATTTTAAAGAAAAAAAAGACAAGTTACTAAACCAAAATAATTAGCCTATTTACTTCCAAACAACTAGAAAATCAAAATCAACACAAGACACAATGCTGCAAAAAAAAATCCTAGATACTGGAAGAGCGTAGGAGATAAATTAGATGACAACACCGAAATTCAAGTTATAGTTCATTAAGCTAAACAACTAACCTGGAAAGGCAAGATCCTTTGCTTCTCACGGTCATAAGCAACAATTTCACAATCAAGCACAAATGATTTTACAGCAGGTTTTTTGAATCTGCATTTGGAAGCAGTGTTTCTTATCAATCAAAAACATATATTCATGTCAAATTACTACTCCAGAATAATGCCTAGTAAGTTTTCAATGTGCATATCAGAATAATTTCAACCTTCCTATCCACTCTGTCAACCAGCAAAAGGAACAAGGACAGAATTACAATTAATAAAAGATGTGCAGCCTAACTAATAAAGAAAATCACCTTACTGTAACTCTTCAGAACCATTAAAAGCCAACAGAATATGCATGTTTCAGGACACATAGGAGATGCAGAATTAACACTGATTCTTAAGCAAAAACAACGATACTCATCAACTTTAAAATGTGTTCTGCTCTGGATACTTTAAGACATCTGCTTGAATGTTAAGTTACATATCAAGTCCCATTGCTGAATGTTTGTTAAAGCTGTATTGACTGAAGGTCTATTTTCCCAAAAGAAGAAAGCAACTGGACAGCACATTAATAAAACGAATGGGAAGTGAAATTCAAGTTCACTTCAGTAAGATGATAGCTTGATGAGGATCACTGATCACTATTAGTCATGTAAAAAGAGTGGATTTAGACCTGAATTGTTTGTATCTGGTATGATTAAGCCAGATAAGGATCATACAGTTCGTGAAGAAACCTGATTTCTCCAACCCAGTAGTCTGGTCATTGATCAGATCATAAAGAGATCAACCCCAATCTATAACAAGATCAGGACCATAATTAACTTTGGTGCACCAGCCAAAAAAAGGCTGGTGCACTTCTATCCTGTATTCACCGCTAGATTGAGATCTAACAGTGGCTAACAAAAACATAAAACGATAAATCTTGTCCTCTATGAACCAGCCAAACCCTATCTCACAATGAAAATTCCTTCTCAACTTTTCTAACCACCTCCAAATTCCACCATGTTCTTCACCCAGAAGATAAAATTACCACCACAAAAACACATCATTATTCCAAGCAATGATCTATAACCACCAATTGTTGACAAACTTGTTGGTGCCAACACTATCACCACTGTAGTTCCATTGGCATAACACAAGGATGCAGCAAAAGATGAATGATTATACCCTAATAATGCTCACTGCCAGAATGAAACCAACCATGGTTGAGTTCAAGTGTTCACTCTTTCTATACTATCTGTGTCATCACATCCTCTATCCGTAAGCCCTGCTAGGCCTGTAAAACCTTTGCCTTCCCGATGAAGATGGGGAAACTTGTTTGGTCAAATTAGATTCCTGGACAGAGATCCTCTTCCTAGCCAAAGAAGATGATCAGCCTTTGCAAAAGGTTCCCGGATTAATGAAAGGTTTCGTTTCCAGAATCAGATATATCTACCTATAACCTATCCAGACCAGATCAGTTTGCTGTCCTAGTCATTATGAGACAAATCCACTTTTAAAATCCCCCTGTTGACCTATTTTGGCCTTAATCCACCTAAATCGAGTGATTCTGAAGATCAAAGTTGGGTCAGAATAGCAATTAAGTTTGTTCAGGTGATTGCTACTAAAATCATGGCAAGGTGTTGATGTCATCTTCAACCCAGATACCCAGAAGTGCACTCAACAGGGTTAAGCTTGATCTTATCACCATCAACATTAGCACCTAGGTGCTCAGCATCAGTCTTGCCAAGGCCAGCCCTTGTCTGGGGGCATCTTTTGGTTTAAATCATGAATCAATAATCTAAATCAGCCTTACTAGGGCCTCGTTGAGCCACTTGGGAAAGCCCAGATACCATATCAATGCTTATCTCAGAAATGAACAACTTTCTTCATGCATGGACCAGCTTAGGCAGTGATCTGACAGGGATTGGCGGGACTTTCCTATGTGAAATTGGGGATAAATCTACAGTACAATAGACTGATAGAGTTTCAGCAAGACCACTAACAGAAAGACAAGCTGATTCAGCTTCAGTCCAAATCCACTTAGACTTGTTTGGAAGTCCAAAGAACCCTGGAGAAAGGCCAAGGTGAAAGTCTGGCACCTATCAGAACTGGAGAAGGGGGGATCCACGCCCAGTTTGGCTACAAATCCCTTGGGGGAGTATAATACATCACAAAAAGAAGCCCACTAGGGATCAGCCACAAGCAGAGAAGAGGGAGAAAAGCACCATTCCTAAGCTATAGTCTCCTTTTGAAGTAATAATCAAATAGATTTAGAAATTGGCATGGTAGCCTATAAATAAAGCCCTAGAAACCAACATGACATTGTTTCAAAATTGTTATTTTATTTTTACAGGAATGCAATTTCATCCGTTTTGATACGACCAATATTTATCAGTTCGACCGCTGATCGGCTCTCAGCCCAATATTGGGCCATTCAAGTGTAATAGAGGGCTTACCGCTCGATAAGCCTTGTGAACCGGGTGGTAAGGCCCGTGAACCAGGCTTACCCCTCATTCAGGCCTGATAATGGGCCTAGACTGAGCAATAAGCCCAGCCAACCAGTTTTGATTTATTTTTTAAATCTTAAAAAAATTTAAAACTTAACTTACCCTCTCGTGCTTTGTCCCCCGTACCATCACTCACATCCCTTGCCTGGTATCACTTGTTGTTTGCACACTAGTCAGCGTCAAGCAGCCAGTATTCTTCTCCTTCTCTATCTCATTTACTCGTTCACTGCCGCTTGCTTCCCTCCTCTCTTGCCCCATTGCCTCTCCTCCTCCTTTCATATCCCCCACCACCTTCCCTCTCCTCTCCTTTTATGTTGTGTCCTGCTCCTCCCCCCTCTACTTCCTTCCATACTCCTTCGTCTCTGCCGTCGACTCTTCCCTCCTATCCATTTTGTACCACCACCTCTCCTCCTCCTCCTCCTCGGCCTTCTTCCCTCCTGTCCTTCTATGTCGCTGCCTCTCCTCCTCCTTCCCTACTCCGCCACCTACTTCTCTTCTAATTTGTCAATTTTCGGCTGTTTTTTCAGCATTTTCCAGAAACTGGTACCAGTGTACCTAGAGCAGCACACTGCTACCCACATTACATACCAGTCTGGCCAAGGACTGTTATCCCTGTATGGTACGAGATAACATTCCATGCTATCATCAATGAGAAAACTGCAAACAGCAGTTTCCTGAGATTAAAAATAAACAATCCCATATCATGGTAAAATGTTAATGTTCCCTGCCGGTCACAGTCACACAAAATAAGATCTGTTACCTAAAATAACAATACAAAGCCACAATACACTGGAATCCAATCAAGAACAAAGATTAATTATCGGTTCTTCCAATTTGTTGTTTGACCAAGTATCATTTAAGACTTACACTTCCGCATTGACCAGTGCTTCTCTGTGTTGCAATTGACAGTTCAATGAAAACCCTAGAAGATCTTTTTCAAGCTCTAAGGACTCAAATTTGATTGTATTCTGATACAGGAGCTTTAATATAGTGATAAGTTACAAACAACTGCTCTTTAAAAATCAATTCAGTCAACTAAGCTTTCAGAAGTTCAAAACATAACTCTTGAAGAGTTGTAGTTAGAGAATTTGCCATGAGGTGTTAAAAGTTACAAATGTAGTTGCTACAATGAATATGCATATAGATCCATGGCTAGCCACAAAAGGTCAAATAGTTTCCACTGCATACAGTGTCACAGACAAATGCGCATGCATCTTTACATCTCCCAGAAATATATAAGAAAGCATGAATAACAATGAGACATGCATACCTTGATACAGAACCGACCACATCTGGGTACTTCCCAGTGTTCCTTTCAGCATTACGACTATATATCTCAACTGATCCATCCTCCATATAATGTATCTGCATTCAAGTGCGAAGTTCAGACAAAAATTAAATGAGACATAAATTTATGTCACAACAAAGATCAGTGTCATACCTGGGCTCGTTCACCATCATATTTGTATTCGCAAGTGAATTCCATTCCCTGAAACTTATCAAGAATTTCAGACACTGCCTTTGTTGGTTTAGCTAACATAGGCCCTACAGGCACACCTAGGGAGAAATTGCATGCCTCTGGAAGTTTCCATACTCCAACGTGGAGAAGTTCAGGAACAATTTTATCATAGATTGGGAGTACCGAATAAACTTGTTTGATAATTTTCGCAGCCTAACTTCATACAACGAAGATGTATAGGAAAAAGAACAATGAATCTAGATCAGTATAACTGCATGCACAAGCCATTAGCTAGCTGTTGGTAAAGAAATATAACAATCAAGAGAAGTACATCCATGGACTTATCAATGATTTAGATCATATTATAAAGGAATAAAGACAGCCGAGTGCATAAGGTCTGACTGCATTATTTTTCTACTTCCTATATGTTATTATTTCTATGCTTCTAATGTGACTTCATTTTATTATTATTTTATTTTATTATCAAACATAAGGTCTGACTGATTGACTGCCTGGTCTAACTAGTAAACCTTTGACCCAAGTCTTGTTCTGGTCACTACCACATCCAGTTTTGACAACTATGAATAAGGCCTACTGTTTTTCCTTTAACATCTCTTCTATGCTTGTGGTTGCTATAAATTATAAAAGAATAACTAAAAAATGGAAAATTATTGTGAGTTTCTCATTCGTATTTGTTGCAATTTGCAGGATATTTATCAAGCAGTAAAAAATAAAATAATAATTTACCATGCAAGATTAACATAGTTTATCTCAGAGCATTGACAAAATTTTCCTCATTTAACTTGGACATAGATGTTAATAGAATAAGAAGAAAATGCAACTTTAACATTGTTGACCAACAGACAGTGTTCTTTGAATAACTTGTCAGAAGGTTAAAACACATCCAAACACACACTAACCTCTTCAAGATCAGACTGAGTTTGTGACCGTGGATTTTGATTCGTTTCAGAATAAATAGCTGCTTGTCCGAGAGCTACCAGGACAGTTTTCTCTGCCAAACCAATTCGCATCTTCGACTGCGAGGTATTTAAGGGAACTTTAGAGGATCAGGATACCAGTGGCAACAACTATATGCTGAACATTTACCTGAAGAAGACGAACTAAATACTGAGGTTCACATTCAGTTGCTGCAACAAGAAGTCCTTTTATGTGATTTCTTTTCTTGTCTTGACTATCTTTTCCCGACTCCTATTGAGGCAAAAAAAAAAAACAAAAACAAAAAAACAAAAAGAAGAAGTCTTTAACGTAAACCTTAAATTTCGATAGCTCTGCCCAATATTTAGTAAGTGCTCATATATGTTATAACCCCTACATAATCAATTAAATGCTACTTCATCAAGTAGGCACCTATGATATAGTAGCACAAACTAACATATTTCATTAATTAATAACCAAACATTTTTTACAAGATAAGAAGAATATCAGATGCTTGCAAGCATTGAGGCACAAACGGTGTTAAAGCATCCACAGATTCGCATATTTAAACATACATAAGAATACATATTATCTATACATACATTCAAATAATATGGTAGGGTCAAAGGGAATCCTGATATTTTTAGACATACATGCAGGGAGTTCAGAAAACTCAGGATGTCTGAGATCTGAACGGTTTGAATCAACAATTTTGATCTTGTTAAGTACCTTATTGATCTGACTACTCAACCTACCTGAGCTGATCTACACTAATTATCAATTTATCATGCCACGCTGTTCGAGTCAAGCTCATAAAGGTTTTAATAGCAAGAAATTTTCATAAACCTTAACAAGCCCACTTCAAAATCCCCACGATTCTGATCATTATAGGAATTGTGGTTCCCAATACTTAGAATCATGTTTCCTAATATTTGGAAATAACACTTTCCTCTATACTAGTCCACATTCTTCATATTGAGACATTTGGCATCACTCCGTAGAGGTTTTCATAAGCTTATTTCCCAAATAAGCTAAACATAAAGATAAGATAATTTAGTTCAATAAAAGGTTGTTCATCATTTTCCAATCATCTTCTCTGAAATAAATAATAATGTTTGTTGAAGAATACACAAAAATGTGTATATACACAAATATTCACATGTAAAAAGGTTTCGCACCCTCATCTTCTTAAACCTAACTGCTTCTTCAGCAGCTCGAGGCTACTTAAGATATAGGTGCAACGATGCCACATGAGGCTGTGATAGCCTATGAAGCAACCTTTATTTGAGCACCTACTCAACAGAACATCATGGTCAATTGTGTTGCACTGGAATGGCTGACAGAGTAATCCATAATCTATAGCCTCTAAGTTACTCCCGTACCAAAGTCCATGAGACTTGGAAACCATTTGAACATCCATTGACCTTTACATGAAAGAAAATCTAAATCTACCATGTAATTTTTCACTGCTTGATAGATGACAAATGGGTTCATATCTCAGTCTTTGGCACAGGACAATTCAAAGAGCCTGCATCAGGTTAAAAAATATGGATAGCATATTTCCAACCCATACATAGTGTCAGCTGAAACAGTGATCCCGATGCTGAGCACCTAAATGAAAGCACTAAACAATGCCATAGCAAAAGGGTCACTGCTGCACAAATTTGTCAATGTTGCCAAATTAAAAGATCTCTAGGGAAATTACACATGGAAGACTGTTACAATATACTAGCTACCTTGGACATATATCTGTCAATATACTCAGTGTAATTGGTTGTGTTCATTGAGGACCTCAGAGTTCAGACTATGGATCCTTATCAAGTACAGTATGCATATTCAAACATTCAGATCATGTTAGTGTGACATAAAACGATACAAAATCATACGAATGCAACTGCAAAATGAAACATAGAACAACATTATCTTAGAAAAAGTTAATTGACATGAACAAAGGGATAACAGTTAGGTATATCAGCAAAAAACAATGGAATTACAAACCCAAAATACTAAATCAAATTCCATAAGAATTATAACTATGCACATCAAAGCATGGCAGGAGTTATTTGATTTCTGGAAATCCTCACGTTATGGTCTGATTGCAACTTAATCAATCAGGGTAACTTGTATTCGTATTACCACAAAATAGTAGTTACACAAGGATCACAACCCCAACATAACTCGGACTATTAAGAAAACACAGGAATGCTTGCTGAGTTTTATATTTTCATTAGAGTGCCATGACAGAATTATCCATGCATAACTGCTCCTACACAGAAGTTTACATATTAAGATTACAAAAAACAAGCATTTGTCTCAATCACATGAACCAACAAAGTTTCACAACTTAGAGACAATGAATTGGTATAAAATAATTAAACGACTTCAAATATCTCAGAAATTATATGTAAATCATGAAATCATATCACATGAACCATCTTTGCTTCCACGATAACTCTAACCATAAAACTAGGTCATGTCACATAATTCATTCTCATCTCAAACCTGCTTGAAGAGGTATCGACCAATATATGATGCACCATCTAATTTGTGGCATTTAGGAATACAGAATTACAGGTCCTTGTTCACTGTATCACTGACCCTCGTAGCATTTACATTTAACAAGCTCAGAATAGTTACCCTTCTATCATCAATTCCAATCTACCCTCAAACAATGGCTTTCTGCAAGGACTGAACTCTTTTTTTCTCTTTCAATAACTCAACATTAGGATCATATATACTTGATATAAGTTAACATACAAAGTTTTAACAGAAAATGTCCAAATCAGCAGGCATGAGAAAACACTTATCTATTTTAGAAATCTTTAGCAGATCTTGACATTAGCAGACCACAGATAAAACGGGCAAAACATTGCATCATATGCCTGCCAATGTTGGATATACTCAAGCAATAAGGAAATAACAAACCTTTGCAATTGCACGGAATGTATCAAAAACCTTGGCAATCGTCAAGGGTTGAGGCTTGAACATCACTTTCTGAGAGGAACGGCTTGCTTTTGCAACAAGACCCAAGTCACCCAGTTCCTAACACCACAACAAGAAACTTTAGTTTCAAACACCAGAACTTCTCAAAGAAACAAGAGAATGAAAAAAGAAATCAAGAACCAGAAAATGATCCGCGTCAAGAAAACAAGATCAAGAAAGTGATCTGCGTCCAACAAAACACCTTTAGCTGCTTCTTGACTTGCTCCTCCTTCCTCCCATAAGCCTCGGCAAGCGCCTTCACAAGGGACGCGTCCCCAATCCCAAGCTCAATACCTTCATGGGGCGCCGCAATCCTATTCGCCGAAAGGTAAACGGTGGCGAGAAGATCCCCGGGCGTGGTAGCGATCACGGTCCTGAACACGTTGCAGATAATCTCCGTGATGGCGATCCTTCCGGACTCGTTCGAGATTAGCTCAAGGGCGCGCGCGAGGAACAAGAAGGGAACGGGTTCCCCGTCCTTCCACGAAGCGGCTTTCTTGGGGTTGAAGTCGGAGCACTTCTTCTTCAGGTCGAGGGTGGGGTTCTTCTCCTCGGGAGGATCTTTAGGGTTTTGGCCACCGCCATCTAGGGTTTTCGGTTTCTTGGAAGGGGAAGGGGAAGGCTGTTCGGGCTGGGCGGAGGATGGGGCGGACTTCTTGGATTTGGCTGCGGCCGCGGCCGCGGCGCGGGCGTTGCCCATGAGAACGTCGGCGACGGTGCGGCGGCCCGACATTGCGGCACGGCCGGTGCTGCAGCAGCGAAGGAAGAGGTTTCTTGACCAAGGGTTTGAGAAGGGGAGAGATGGGAAGCAGGGACGCAGTGGAGGGAATTTGAGCGACAGGAGAAACGGCGCTCGCAGCAACAACATCAAATGGGGAAGACGGAATGGGGCTATGATTTCAAGATCACTGGGAGCGAAGGGAGGAGGAGGAGGGCGACGCTTTTCTTGGTTTTGGCGGGCAGAGGAAGCGCGACTCCACAGTATGGGCTTAAACGGGCCATGGCTGGATTGAATAGTTGATGCCCATGGCCAATTGGTTCTTTTGATCTATGTCGGTACTATTGAGAAGGGGTTAAAGAATACATGTCAATTATTTCTTATTATTGCCACGTTTTTTAATAAATAGGATAATTTTTGGATTATAAATCTAATGCAACAGACATAGGCCGGAAAATAATTTATATTCCTACCGTTTAATGTATTCTACGATTTAACTGAAACAAATAAGAAAGATATGCAATTATGTCTCCGTAAAATATCATGCCGTTCCATTATTATAATTGACTGACTAATTTTTTCCTTGCTTGCTTAATTCTGCCTAAATAAAATGTATCGAAAACTATTTTATCTATTTTCAAAAAATTATTTATACGATTAAAGTCCGATCTTTATAAGGAATTACATGTCTCGTCTCCTGTGCGCTTCATTTCACACTATCAGAATTCCATGAGAAAAGCGTATGTAAAATACATGTCACTTTTTCTTCTTATTTGTTTACGTTGATGTCTGCATCAAACATATCTAAAGATAATTAATCGGAAACTAAAAACACATGAAGACGAAAGAGATAGGAGAATCCCAGCTAACTACATTCACAGCTAAACAAAGCAGGCAGCTACACCATAACTCCGCATTATATGATATTATACTGGAATCAAAATAGGGAACCATATGATCTGATGAAGAGCTAAACAAGAAAGATGAACACCGTACTCGCATCATCGTAATCTTTGGGCTAACCGCAACGTGGTCTGAACAGGCTCGCCATCTCCGTCTCCACTGAAGCTGTCGACGATCTATTCAACAACCATAAATGCCGGAGACAACGATAGATGCCATCAGTTAAAACTATCAGCAATAACTGGCATAATTTTACATCAACCAGATACAGTAAGCAATACCATCATTTCGTAATGTCAAATAGCAAAAACGGGACAATATTCTTGTGATAAAGATCAACCAATAACAAGGTGCAACACATCACTGTATCTAAAATACAGTGTATCGATAACTGTATCTACGGTACTTGGCAAGGCAAAGCACAACGATAAGTACACAGATCAAAATGATGTGATGTCACAGAATAACATGCAACTACTTTGCAGAAACAAAACCCACTGGAGAAATTGCAAGATACCCGTCTCAGCGGCACCAAGATGAGAATTATGTAGCAACAAGGGAAAATACATCTCAAATCTTGCATATTCCTGTGCGAAATAATGTAACCAAAACCCGCTACATTTTCCTCCAAAAGCTAACAATCCCGTCTGCCAAAAGTCTCAAATTTCCCCACAAGTCTGTTGTTCTTGCCGATGAATCGCTCTGCTCAGTGCTTCTTGGGTGATCCCTATATAAAGAAAACAATGCTGCATTCAGCATCTATAATTATCTCGACATGGCACAATATATATTGGCTACAAAGAACTATCAAAAGAATTTTAGTTTCCTGACCAAAATGTATAGCCATATTATGTATGAAAACAGAAATCAAAAAGACAAAAACATTGCAACAAATATCTCTAGACTCATTATAGCATAAAAATTTAGAACTTGGAGCAAATCTAACAAGTTGCTAGAAGCTTATGTCTGAATGAAAAAAGTTTATTTTCAGGAATAAAAAAAAAGCATATGGAGGGAGCAGGACAGTGTGATTAGAGAAACAATTGTAGTCGGTACTGGAATTACAAATAAAGGACCTAAACCATTAGATGCTTTATAGTGTAATATCATGAAGTATGTTAAAATAAGCAGACTGCTAAAGTAAAAAAAAAAAGTTAAAACAAGCTTACCTAAGATGTTCCTCAGTCTCCAAAACTTCATCTTTTCCTCTATTATGTTCAACCACCTTTGAGAAAGAAGCATCATGCGCAATGTCATTAGCACTTTTCTCTGTTCTGGAGCCTATAGTTTCTCCTGATGGAGACTGCATGGCATCTACTCCGATATCCAATTTCAGTGAGACTGATGATTCATCCTGCTACAAGTGAAGTTATCAGCAAGGCACATGCATTTATGCAAAAGCAACTCCTATCAGCTTTAAATAACAGAAAAGAATCTCTATTTTGAAATCTCAAAAAGAACAAAATCTTGGTGCCTTGCAGAATGCCAGAATCTAATCATTATATCAGCATCTCTATTTCCAAATCTTGCAGAACAAGAACTTTTATGTTTATTTGACAATATAAGTAAACCAAGAAAGAGCCAACAAGAGATTCCGCAATTAACAAAAAGCACTTTAACAGCACTCCAAGCTCTAAAAAACCATGATAACATCAGAAGCAATTCAACCTGTCATGAAAAACTGAAAATAAACTCTTTTAGCCAAATAGCTAAAAGATACAAATCCTTGTGCAGGCTAATATTTCCATCAAACAAGCTATCCTACAACTTAAAAAGATTAGTAAAAGATTTTAGATTAAATTTTTAACTATATATTTAAAAATAAAAGAAGTGGGAAGCGAAAACAGGACATCAAGCTGAAAAGAGGAAGAAAGTTTCAAACACATCCATTTATACGGAAAGAAAGATGTACAGATGGGTAGCTGTTGAACAAAAGGACAAAGAAACTGAAGATTCAATAAGAAAAGGACAAATGAAGTCAGAACAATGTGATCCACAATAAGTGAGAATGAATATAAACATATAAATATATTAGAAAAGAAAAGAGAAAATTGAGTCAGAACAGTGCAATCTGCTGCAAGTGAGTATGAGACCAAAGTCACCAAACATTGCCACTTTAAAGGTAAAGTAAAAATGCCTAACCTTTAGACTGCATGTCAAGAACTCCTAAAAATAGCTAGGTAGCAAAGGATGGCAGTAGTAGCTATTAATATAAATAACCGAGAGAGAGAGAGAGAGAGTGAGAGAGAGAGAGAACAATCACTTGTCATCCTTTTATAAGAAAGGGGGTAACATTTTTTATCCTTAAAAAAGAGAATAATAAACAAAGAACTAGAGAGAACAGAAAAAGAAAACTTTAGAGTAGGACAAGTTACAAAATGGATGCTGAATACTTCTCTCATGTGAAATAGGAGATTGTTTAAAATGAGCACATACTTAGCTACCATCTGAACTCACTTGGGATGGATCATGGCACCCTCTTTATAGCACTTGATTTCAGCATGAGGTCACAGATCGTTCTAGCTTTTGACATAATCCATGGCTTCAGATGCCATCATCTTCCTAAGACATCATGTAGTCTCATCTACTCTAAAGTAAACATCTGACTGATGAAACACCTAAAGCACTACAGTGATGCAAAAAAACCAACCAAACTAGAACATTCAGATCATTAAAGAAATAAATTTCAGGAGATACAGATAGATAAGGTCACCTATGTCTACTGAATGGTGATGCTGAACAGACCAAACACATCCAGAATGTCAAATATACTTAGTTGCACAACCGTCACTACTCAAGATCTTTTAGTTCAAAATTGTTCATCAGATTAAAAACTGTTCATACATATTGATTTTTATTTTCAATTATTTTGTTCAAACTTACTTTGTCACCTACATCTGTTTTCAACATATTGTCTACAGCAGATGTAAAGGGCACTTTCTTGGCACTTGAACTTTGATCAACGTCTTCTGCTTTTGTCAAATGATGGGCTCCTCCATTCAAAGATGACCTTTTATTGTACTTCATTTCTTGAACAAGTTGTTTTATTATGTAATAAGACCCACCAATCTCTTGCCGAACATGGGAAACAGGAGGAAATCTTCCTGCATTTGAGGCTCTGTACCTGTAACAGCTAAATATAAGCTTGAATATTTAACAAAAATGTCCTTAGAACATGAAATAAGGAAAAAAAAAAGTGAAATTAAACAACATGATTTTACAGATATGACTTCCAAAATTCACAAATACAATTTTACCTGTTTTAGAGTATTCTGAAAGTACCAATCAAAATTTGTTTGCAACATGTGGTTAGTGATCAATCAGTCAAGAAGAGTCGAGGAGGGAGGAGGAATCAATTTGGGTTCAGCAGCTAAGCCTGGATCTAGTCAATTCAAGTCCTATTTCTTTACTTTTCTATCTAGCTATTTTGATAACCTCTTATCAGTTGGTTACTTCCAGGTCAGAGATTTTGAGCTATTTGATGGCTAGAAAGGTTATTATTCAAGAGAGAATCAACAAGGACAATTATGCTGCTAACCTTTTATCTAAAAGTGAAGATACTCAAATTTTAATAATATGGAGGAGATGATGGAGATCAGAGCAATGGCACTAGTTAACTGCTTCTCTATCTTAAAAGTGTCCTTATCAGACTAATATCTCTTCAAATTTTGACATTCAGCTGAATCAAATGCAGAAAAAGAATTGCATAATGTTTTCTATTTGCATAAAAAAGTGTGCTTGTTTGACAAGTATCAGAGGATCTGAGAGAAGAAGTCTAATAGTATAAAAAATCTGTATGATAAATTCTAAAATACCCTTAAAGCCTATCCTAATGTGGTAGGATTAGGATGAACATACTAAAATCTGGAAAGCTGCCAAAGCTTCAGTTACAAAGATGTTTCACCAAACAAAAATTTGCAATCAAACTCATGTTTCACGACTTTTTGGCACAAACATTCAAAACATCATTGGAGTCAATATCTTACTTGTCAACAAAAGATTCCACCAAAGCACGTCTTTCTTGTTCAGATATCTTCTCGCCTTTTTGTGGTTTATATGGGCCAGAGGGAACCAATGCAGAAAATGATTTTTCCCATCCTCTGAAACTCGATCGAAGTAGTGCACTAGATAAGTCAATGAACACTGCAATAAAAAGGTAAACAATTTTCACAAATAAACAGGGCACAGGATTTTCACAATAACATAATGTTTCTTCTTGTTTCATAGAATGTTCTTATGCAGAATGTTTTAAAAAAGGATCTCGGCCTGTTACAATATCTCTGTATTCAATAATGAAGAGTTTTTAGCTAGCTAGAGCTGTTTGCATCAGGCATCATCCTCGTTTAGCAGCAACGAATACAATAAATAGCATACAGTAACTTGAAAGCAAAATATTTTCTCTTTAGGAGTTTCTTTACCTGAAAACTTGGCATGATTTATTTTTCTCTAATGTCCACATAACAAAAAACTGCAAACTTTCTAAAAGTGGAGGAGATCTACAAAGGACTAATAGAAGGACGAAGACAGAGAGGCACAAGAAGAGACATCCTAAGTAAAATACCGGACTAATTATCATAGCTGGACCATCGAATTCCAAAACCCCAAAGCATGTGATCACCAGTAAAAAGAAGCAAGAAGAGTGATGATAGGTTACCCCTTTTGGTGGAAGACGAGACTGGGGAAGAAGAGAAGGCGAGTCCTCTCGCAGACGCCTGCATCCGGGCTTATTGATGGGCATCACACGGCGACCATATGGAAAGAGGCGAGCGGGAGATGAGAGAGCGCCGGCATTCCCGTGATCCACAGCCCGTCAAACGATTCCCTTCCGAAAGACAAACATTACAAACAAGAACGCAAAAAAGAGGTACAGAAGACAACAGCTCGTTGCCGCTCTCACTCCACGACGGATGCCGCTTTCCGCTGCAGCTCGTCGGCGCGAGAGGCGATCGGACGAAGAAAATGCGAGACCAGAGCTTCCGGTAAATAGACTCGGTGACGAGCACACTAGGGTTTAGGTTTTTACGCGACCCACGAGCCTGCGGCGTGTATGTACTTCTGTAATCGATTTAATGACGTGAATCGATTCTACCAATATTAGATTTTTTTTTTTATTCAAACATGATGTTTAATATCTTTAGTAGTAATCGGGTCGGATACGAATCGACTTGGATCCGATCCATTCAATCTCTCCTATCTTGTTCTTGTGGCCACAGCATTTATCGGAGGCCGTGACCGTGTGTCCCCCGACCAGTACAATGAGCACAACCTTCACAGCCAGTCCCCTCTCTCCGGCCAAATCTAGACCAAATGAGGCCATCGCAAAGGAAACTCCACCACCATTCCCTTTCTCCCTACTCACCAAGTGCACCTCCCTTCGGCAACTCCAGCAACTCCACGCCCTCGCCATCAAATCCCGCCTCCAACACCATCCTCCCCTGCTCACTAAGCTCATCACCTCGTGCCCTCCCTCCGCCATGGACTACGCCCGCCGCCTGTTCGACCAAATTCCCGACCCGGATGTCGTCCTCTTCAACACCCTGTCGCGTGGCTACTCCCGTTCCGACGATCCCATTCAGTCCGTCGCAGTATTCGCCCGGATGCTCGACGCGGGTGTTGGCCCCGACGACTACTCTTTCCCGACCCTTCTCAAGGCGTGCGCGAGCGCGAAGGCCTCGGAGGAGGGGAGGCAAGCCCACGGCGCGGCCGTGAAGCTGGGGTTCGCTGACAACATCTATGTGCTCCCCACGCTTATAAGCATGTACGCCGAGTGCGGCGAGCTTAATGTCGCCCGCGCTCTCTTTGCCAGGACGGACGGTCGATGTGTGATTTCCTACAACTCCATGATCACGGCCTGCGTCCGGAGTAGCCGCCCCAGCGAGGCACTTGCCTTGTTCCGCGAGTTGCAAGCCAAGGGACTCGAGCCGACCGACGTCACGATGCTCAGTGTTCTCTCCTCCTGTGCCTTGCTGGGTGCGCTGGAACTGGGGAAGTGGATCCACGAGTACGTAAGAAAGAATGGATTTGGCTCGTTTGTGAAGGTCAATACAGCATTGATCGACATGTATGCCAAGTGCGGGAGCCTGGAAGATGCCATCGGCGTGTTCGGTGACATGGGCTCGAAGGACACACAAGCTTGGTCGGCCATGATCGTAGCTTACGCGATTCATGGGCACGGGAGCAAAGCCATATCTCTGTTCGAGGAGATGCTGAAGGAGGGGATAAAGCCCGACGGCATTACATTTCTCGGCGTCCTGTATGCTTGTAGTCATTCAGGTAAGGTGGAGGAAGGGCTTGGCTACTTCCGTACCATGAGGGGTCGCCACGGCGTGATCCCCGGCATCAAACACTACGGCTGTGTGGTGGATCTGTTGGCTCGAGCTGGGCGACTCGACGAGGCTTTCGAGTTCATCGATGGTCTGCCGATGCAGCCCACGCCTATCCTGTGGCGAACGTTGCTGTCAGCCTGCGGAGGCCATGGGGACGTCGACCTCGGCAAGCGGGCGTTCGAGAGGATACTGGAGCTAGACGACACTCATGGCGGCGACTACGTCATTATATCGAACATGTGTGCCTCGGATGGGAGATGGGAGGACGTGAACCGGATAAGGCAGCTGATGAGCGAGAGGGGGGCGGTGAAGGTGCCTGGCTGTAGCTCCATCGAGGTGGCCAACACGGTTCACGAGTTCTTCTCCGGCGACGGGAAGCACCCGCAGTCGGAAGCGGCACACAGGATGGTGGACGAAGTGGTGGAGCGATTGAAGTCGGTCGGCTACGTGCCCGACACTTCGCGAGTGTTTCATGTTGACATGGGGGAGGAGGAGAAGGAAGCGAGCCTCCGGTACCACAGCGAGAAGCTGGCGATCGCCTTCGGGCTCATAAACACTCCTCCCGGGACGACGCTCCGTGTCGTCAAGAACCTCCGCGTCTGCGGCGACTGCCATTCCATGGCTAAGATGGTGTCCATGGCGTTCGACAGGGAGATCGTTCTCCGAGATCTGAATCGTTTCCACCATTTCAAAGATGGATTGTGTTCCTGTGGAGATTTCTGGTGAGCAAAAGGGGAAGCTGTGTTATCATCTGTTTGTGGCTCCAGTAGAGATGGATCTTTCACTCGCACTAAAAAGGAACGTTTTGAGTATACAGAGGTCGACACTTATTTTATACGGACGCAAGATTGATTTATCTATTGATTAGAGTGGGGAGATACTACCAAGTGGCCAAAAAAACACGCATAAGAACATGTAAGAAGACTAATCAACTGGAAAGTCATTACGGGCATAGCAAACAATGTTGTACATGACAAACAGGACCCTAATGGAACTACGTATTAAGAAAGGAGTATATGGCAATTATGACACAAATAAATAACTTAATCAAGCATCATTGTTCGAATTATTTACAGGCCACACGTCCCCATTTGTCACAACTGGAACTCAACGACACTATACTTCTGAAGACTCGTGACTTCAAGCCTGTAAACAAGACAAAGACACAGTCCAAGGGAAAAAGTTATTCGAGGAAAGCAAGGAAAATTTTGTAAAGCAAATGATTGATTTTGTGTGGTCACAAGTGCTAAAGGATCCAAGTATTTTTGCAACTTGACCTTAAAAAAACAAAGCAAAAGAAAAGATGGTAAATACTTGCTTTCAGGGAATCACTTTCGGCATTGAACACTAGGATCACCAACATATTGTGTATGTTGAACCTGGTTCCGTAAGAGAGGAAGCCTTGCAGATAAATATTCATCATCGCTATCGTAGCAGTTCCCATGGTATGGACCAAGAGCCCTGAGAATCATGGCCACAAAGAGAGACATTGCCTGGCATCACATGGAAAAAGGCTTTGTAATTAGAACAAATGAAAATAAGAAAATATATGGCTACTCCAAATTCATGGTGGAAAAATATCGACATGCAGTGGAGGTATCATATAAAAAAAGCTGGCAGTTCAAGTGGGAAGACATGAGGTGCCGCAAGTGCCCCTGGAATATTATTGAACACGATTTTGGTAAATGGCAATGGAAAAGAAAAGAAAAAGAACTTCCACAATGAATATCTCAGAAAATAGAACGATATGATACACGTATATATGCATAGCTGAAAAAGACTGGTTATCGAATTTTAAGTATACCCATAAGGCAATTATTTTGCAGTCTTTGAAATCTTGTATGAGAAGATTGATCGACGTGCTCCTGCTGTCTGTGATCATGTCATCAGCACATATATGCTGTTATCGAGAGCCTTTTAAGTTTAATCTAAATTGTTGAATCCAACTTAAAAGAAAAAATATTGAATTATCAAGAAAATGGATTATATACATGGTTCCCAGCTACTAAATTGTAGATCTAACCATGGCTTCAAGTTTCAGCTGAAACCATGTATTTCAGCAGCACTGTTGGTCCCTTTTCTATCGGTTCCACCAAAACTAAAGTAGGTAGATTTTCAGTAGGTTATGGTACAGTTTTACTGGTTTCCATGATTTCCCACTTGTTTTTTCTAAAAGTAATGGATTTTAATTGACTTAATGTTCATACAGACCTTTTCTAATTCCAAATCTCAGCTCCTTTTACAAATTCTGCTCCAACTTGCTGTCCAACTGCATATTTGAATGTGTTCCTACACAATCAGGCTTTAAGTTCATTTACACAAAAGAATGAATCACTCAGGTTACAATAATTTTTGGCTCATTTTTGACAGGTTCCGTCCATACATGTCCAAAAATCTATATTTGAGTGAATAGATTAAATTTTAAAGATATAATATTCATTAATTTTCTGCAGCATGGCCTAATAATAAAAGTGAGTCATCATAGACAATAATTAATTGATCTTCATATGGTGGCCGGTCCATGAGGCACTAGCCAATGCAGGGTCTCGGTAGCCTATGCCAATATATGCAGAGACAAACTTAAATATAGTTGGGATGCTTAGAAAATATGATTAAATGAGATACCAGCAACAGTGCATTTCAATTTCATTTGAATTGTATGAAAAGCATACCTGTGCAACCACAATAACCAAACCTATCCATTTGCACAACTCAAAGTTTGATCTGATGAAATCCTTTAACCCATTAAATCTCCCAGTTGTATCCTCTGGAAAATCCTGTTGAATGATCATTATCATATAGAAACATTATGTTAACAGTGCTAACCAAAATGGCCATATAAAGGAAAGCTTGACGGTGGCACCTCTTCCCAATCTCTGTTCAGAATTACATCTGCAGTTATTGCAGCCTCCAGTATGACAAGCAAGAAAACTAAAACCATATACTGTAACCATTTAAGGATAACAAAGAACTCACACATTTAAATCATAATCAATTGAAAATTATTCTTGGGAAAATTGCACTATAAATTAATGCTTAATTCATTCCTGTGGAAAAGAATACCCTAACTACAAATAAGAATTATTATTAATAGTGACTGAAGGTATGCTTATGCATTTCGATTTGTTTTTATCTTTGAGGAGATGAGTATTCAAGTAGGGTCGTCAGTTTGGAAGCAACCGGAGACATATGGCCAATTATGGTTTAAAGCAAACCTTGTTACATAGGAGACAATTATATAACAAAGTGCATTTCCTGCTGATAACACTGAAACAAATGTACAAACAAACCCAAAGACATCAAGTTTTTGGTCCAGCAACCCTTTTCTAGATACCAATAGAACTATAAGAATTTCCAGGATCTACCTCCTAATAGACATAAATGTGCAATATCAAGTGAAAAAGAGAGCATTTAAACCAGAATGGACCATTCTAATTTCCGTTCTTTTGAAATATATCATATAAGAAGAATGCAAAACAAGTTCCAGACAGAAGCTACTTAATTAAAGTATCTGTGATTTCAATTCAACAATTTCATATCAAAGGCATACAACAAATGAATTTCTACAAATTATCACCAATTTATGTTCTTTTCAATCACCAAATTAGATTGGAGTTCAAATTGTATATAGATGTTTAAAGTTGCATTCAACACTGTTCAGAAACAAAAAAAACAGTCTACTAAAGATATTTGCAACCTATAGGTGCTTTATATTGAGGAAGACTGCACCCAAATCTCATTAAGTGCCGAGTATCTAACAGCTACCATATAGTTTGAGGCATTAAAACAACCTTTATTCAGTAAAAGCACATATAACAGTCCACTAGTTTCTTATTATATATCTACATTTAGAGATACTATGCTATACGCTGCTAGGCAACCAAGAATTACTAGTGACTGTGGCTTCAAGCTTAAAATTGTACCGATATTATTTTTTATTTTAAAAGTAGGATACACAAGAAAGGCAATGACCATTAGCTGTTTCCGCGGCAATATGACCAGAAAATGCTATCAAGCAAAAAGAAACTCCTAGTCCAAGAGAAGTGTATATGAACCTGCATGTGCGTTAGAAACATATTAGATAATCAATATATAAACAATTAAAACAAATTACTGAATCTTAATGACACATGCGATTATCAAGTGAATATTTAAGTATTGGCTGATAAAAAGTCTTCCTCATTTAGAATTTCTAGATAGTGATGTTTGAAATCAGATACTCACTAGTTAGATGACATACGGTGAGGAGCTATTAGATCATTTTGTTTTCTCATCTTCCATAAATCTATCTAACTCAAAGAGACACGTAGCATATTATAAGTGAACAATCCCACTCATATTTCCAATAAGCATTACGCTTAATAACATCTTCCTATTTCATCTCTCTGATAAACTTTAAAGGGATCACACAGAGCATTGGAAAGAAAGAAAGAAAGAAAAAATGATCCAATGTTTTAAAGAATTAAAGGACAAAGGTTAATTCTCTTAAACCCAAAAAAATAGTTGTTTTTCATCAGATAAACAACCTTTCGCCGAACAAAAGGACCCCACAAGTTTTTCGTAGGTGATGAAATCGATAAAAGCATAAAGAGTCACAGCGTGGTCCTTATGAAACAAAGGAAGACCCAACTCAAATCCTCAATCGTTCAGTAGATCACAAACCCCAAAAAAAAAATTTCTTGAAATAAAAATCAATTTCCAATTGATTATCAGGCATCTAACCAAGAAATCTTAGAGAAAGTCCGACAAAACCTAAGAACCCCCCTCATAGAGATCAAGCATCTTTCTTTTATTCAATCCAAGAGATCTGGATGACAAGAATCGAACCTTTTCCACAGGAAACTAAAAAGAAGTAGATGATGGGGAGGAACAAACCACGAGTCGGCGGTGGGGAAGGCATGGGCTTGCCGGTACCAGACCCTGATCATCCAAAGGGAGTAGAGGATCAACCCTACCCCAACAAATCCCGCCACCGAGTTCACCAGCTTCAGCGCCGACTGCAGGCAGCTCCGGATCATCCTCCCCATCTCCTCAACCGTCAATTCTGTCCGACCCTATCGGGAACGATGCGGAATTGACGAAGACAAAGAACAAAAGATGGAATCGTGTTGGGTGTCGGCTTCGGTTACCTTCGTACCCAAGCCATCAATGATTTGTGCTGTATTCTCTTAAACAAATATCTATAATATAATATATATACTTCCAAAGCCAGTGAATTAATATAATATATATATATACATATATATACACACATATATATTTGTTGCGTATATATATATATGTATATACACAATTTATATATATATACACACACAACAAATTAATTAAAATCCTTTAAAAAATCTAAAAATTATTTTTTAAAATACTTAATTTTGTATATTCTAATACAGATAAATATACTTGAATTATAATCTGAATTTATTAACTAAGATAGGGGCAGTGATATATGTACAAATTTTTAATATTTAGTATGTATACATATTATGAAAAAATAGTGGTTTATGTAATCGTTATCATAAATCTATGAGAAGTGATTTTGTTCCTACCAAACATATTTTGCTATGCCAACCTCTTTGTTAAATTTGTGAGGGAAGCGCATGGATTGGGAAAAAAATTGAAGTTCTTCGTTGCTCATAATGATATCCTATACGTTGGCGTGATGCTTATTTATAAGAAAACAGAAAAGATATTTTAAATCTAAAGCTTAATATTTTTATAGATAGCTTGGAATACAAATTGATTTTTGATGAATTAACAATCTGACTTGTCTTGCAAATCAATTGATGATGAATGAGAATTTTCATTGTCAAATGTTCTTGTGTTCTTTTGGTGGGGAACTTTCATTTAGTGTTTGAAATTAGTGGATGGAGGAGTTAGATAGGAAGGCTACTCATAGTTACCATCTAGAAAGTTTTAAATGAAATAATAGCTTGGAATTATTCAAACTAGTGATGCAATGTAGTTATTACATTATAATTATTCTATACAACACTTGGTAGGACCACATTTCCCACATTGTCACTACATTAAAAATAACAATGTACTTCTTACTTTCCTTTTTTTTGTTCCCTATAGATATCAACATCAATTGTGAACTGTCCAACTCCTAGAACTGTCATCATGCATTCTTAATCTTCCCTTACAACATTACACATTGAGAGAGTGGGCCATTCAACTAGGACTACAACTAAGTCCATGTAAGTTTGGGTTTTCAGACATTGTTCAGACCAAGATTCGATGTAAGTTTGGGCTTTTCAGACATTGTTTAGACCAAGGTTCGCTGTACTGTACCGTACCGACGTTTCGACCCGGGCTCGGTACGATATGGTACCGGTGTACCAGGCGATATATCAGGGCGTACCGAGCGATACGCCCTGATGTACCGAATATTTTTTTATTTTTTATATACTGTAGCAATGCTACAGTCTAGTACTGTAGCACTATAACAATACCGGACGATCCACGTACTGGTGACCTGTCGAACCGGTACATATCGTCCGATACGAGCGGTACATTTCGATACGACAGACCTTGGTTTAGACACACTATATATGTAGCTCGGTGCCATGCCTATTTCAAATGGTGGCCTTATTATTACTTGGCTTCATAAAAAAATGTGTACATGTAGTCCTCCCCAACTGCACTCTGTTGGAGCCTCATACATTGGGCTGTCTTGTAACCCATAAAATCTTCAATTGTTGCACATAGACATTAGGCTGCCCTCGGTTGAAACATCTGTTAAAAAGTTGCATTCATCACCAATCAATTTCTTATGTTAATGGAAAAACATCATCCATCGTTTGAACAAACTTTCACACATTGTGCCACTAATGCTAGGAACATGTCCCCAGAGCTTCATATCCCCTAGGGAATATGGTGATCAGAGATGCTTCAAAACAACAACATTCTCATGCTCTTCTTTTAACCCCAAAAGTCTGGACCAAATTATGCATGAGAAAGTTTACTGGTGGTGATTATGATAATGCCATAGCTGAAACACAACTATAAAAGGTTTATGAAGAAACAAAATCCAGCAATAGGGATCAAGAAAGATAATCTCACCTTCCATAAAGAGAGGAGACAGCAATACGAGCACTTGTTATGAATGAGACGGAGAATGCTTGCTTGCACTGTCCAGAATCTTCTTTGTCTCCTCATTTTCTTTAATTCCATCAGATTTCATTCTCTGCATAAGTTCACTCACCTCCTTCCCTTCTCTAATATAGGTCTTAATTAAAGTGTGATACATGTCTCTATCTATTGGCATTGCAAATTTTAGTAGTTGGATGAAAGTCTCTACATCCTTGCTTTGACTGTTGTCACCAAGATAATGCAAGATGCTTTTGACAATAGTTGGATTTGGTTCCCAGCCTGCACTTGAAATATAAACACAAAGAGCATTTTTCATAAGTTCATATGCCTTATCCATCATGTCCTTTTCTGCATAACCTGTAGCCACAATCCCCCAGCTGCTTGCTGCAGGAGTTTTACCTTTCTTCAAGAAGTCATCGAGCATGGCCTCAGCCTTTTCTAGCAACCCCATTTTTTTGTAACCAACTAGAAGAACATTTGGGACACGCCAATCTAATGCATTCCCACTTGATTCCCATTCTTTCATCAAAACTTCTGCTTCTTCCACCTCCCCAAGCTTTACCAGTCCTCCAAGCATAGTGGTGTAATCTTTGTTGATAAACTTCTTACAGTTCACTTTCTGAAGTTCCCATAACCTCTGCATCTCAGATTTGTTTCCAAGTTGGCTGTAGAGGGAGATAAGATGATTGTAGCCGAGTGCATTCCTTTTATCAAGTTTCTCTTCTGCTTTTTTTAGTGCAGACGAAGCCTTGTCGGTGATACTTGCTTTTATGTAGATGTTTGCAACCACCGAATAGGTGTTCCAATCGACAACAATTTGTGGCTGGTGCTCCATCTCCTCTAGGATCATCTCCATGCCATTAATATCAGACATTGTACCATAAGAATTGATGCAAATCCTGTAGCTGAAATTATCAGGTAGGACACCATTAGTTTTCATATCTTCTAGCACTGAGGGAACCTTTTCATGCTGGCCAGTATTTGTGTACAGGCACATGATGTCATTATATGGCAAAGGAGAGGATACTAATCCAAGTTCCTTCATCTTCTGAATATGTGACAAAGATTTCTCTACCAGCCGTTCTCTCACATAACAGTTCAAGAGTGCCCCATAGGTTTTTTCATTTTTGTCATTTTCACGCATGTTATTAAAGTAGCTTTCAGCAGATGAGAGTCCATGGACTTGACCAATTAGATCCAAATGCACAGCATGGTCACTGGACATGAACTGTATTTTCTGCTTGCCTTTCATCCACTCAGAAACCTGCAAACATGCAGCATTGCTGCAACTTTTGAGTACATGGAGAAAATGCCAACATATTTCTGGGCCTACGAAAGAATGATAATCTAGAAAACGAATAAACATGCTTATTTTTCTAACGGCACAATAAATATCATAACAAAAAAAATAACTAGTTTGTCTCTGTGAAATAAAGAATACTCCATAATCAAATGTATATATCATACTATTTTATAGTTGATAAGCAATTTGGTGGCAAATACAATCACTTAGCTAGGATTGCAGCAACTTCTTGATTGAAGGATCACTCACCTATTTGCACAGAACAGAATTCTTACTCCAAGTGCATATTACCTTTACACTCTTAATCATCTTGCAAACTTGCCATATGTTCCACCATAGGTCTATCTGGTTAGTCTTCTATGCTCGATATTAGGATTCATTCAACAAGGTAACATCTAGCATTTGTATCATCCCAGTTAGTTCTACTGCTGAAAAACACAAAATTGCATGATCTTGTAGTCCTCCACAGTTGTCAAATAACCTAACTTTTTCTTGCATATGTTATCATTCAAATTTGAAAGAAACAATATAATCTCTCTTCGAAACCCTGAACCACCTTTGATGAAGAATCAAAATTTGGTGGAGACCCTTGATCATCCAATCTTTCCAGGAGCTGATATTTTATACTTTTTCTTTTTGCTTGTCTGTCAATTAAGGGTTATGCCCTTTCAATTTAACATCTAATGTTCCAGTTTACAATGCACAAACACCTGTTTCTTACTCCTTTGCTCAACTGGCTTTCCATCATCAATTCATTTACCACATTTTCGCTACCTATATAATATCTCATTATCACTATGCAATCATATAATTTAGTTTACACATCAACCGCTTGTGCTAATTATCCTTATAGCCGCTTTTGGATACTGTCTGTCAACAATTACAACAAATGTAATAAATCTAGGATAAAATAATACCATATCAAGAGACAACTTTCATGTATTATCAAACAAGTAATTTTTACACCTCCAAGACTAAAGCTTTGTTACCACTACAATACTTGGAAACTGAACAACTAGATGAGAATGCTAAGGCCATTTTCAGCGAATCTCGCGATTATAGCTGCATCTGTTTGATAGTGAGCAGAATACATCCCATCTAGTTTCTTACAAAACCCTACATAATCGAGTGGCCTTTAAGCATAAATCTTTAAGAAAACGAACTAAAGTTCCATATCAAACTATTTTCAACAGAAAAGGAACCGTCACAATAACTAGACAGCACGCAAAAGAAACCATAGAAATCCTCAAAACCTTTTATTTAAAGCTAACATTTGCTTTCATCAGTTTCAAGTTCCAACTTCAGTCAAGTGCACGAACATAAAATCTTTTCTGTTCATAAACAATAAGGAAAAATCTCTAAGAGGAAAATCCACAAACGGTTACAGGGCAGGAGACGAGAGACACAAACCTCAAGAGCCTGCTTGTACCTACGACGCTTGCGGAGCTCTCGTATCACGTGCTGCAGCTCGACGAGGCGGACGCGGTGGCCCCTCGCGACCCAGCGGTCGAGCTCCGGCTCGAGGCTGACGCTGGGGAGGCCTAGCGGCCATATCATGGACTGCAGCGTCGTTCGAGGAGCTCTCGCGGTGCAGAAATGCCTGCTTGACCCAGCGGCTAGCGGCGATCCTGAGCACCGCAGACGGATTTGGAGGGCTCTTCTCAGGAGACGAGCAACGGAGAAGACAGTCGAACCCATGACAAGCCAAACAAGGGCCGGTCGGGAGTCAGTGATACCGCTCAAGTAAAGCACCGTCCAAAATACCGGCCGTTATAATGATACATAAATGCTCTGTTACATGGCGTTATACCCCCTTGTCATCTGTAATAACGATCCTGCTGTAACGGGATCATACCCCGTCACTTCCCGCAGCTCTCGTACCAGCACGAGAAGGATCTTGACAGGTGAAGAGCAACATCACTGGACTCCCTACTGCTCTTGATCTCTAATGTTATTGGTCACGGAAAAATCTAGGGCGGATCATTGCTTCAAATGCGCAGTGATGCAGGAGGCAGAGGAGATGTTCTTGGAAGGACTACAGACAGAAGCTGAGAACTGCCTTCATAGGAGTAGTTGTGCATGGTTTTTGTGGCATTCTGGTGGAATGGACACTTGCTATCATCCTCTGGGAGATGATTGTGCTGCAGATGGTGGAGTTGTGACTACAATCTCAGCTTTTATGAACTGCTCTGTAGAGTTCATTGAAGTGATGTAAGTGTAGCGATCCCCTGTTTCTAGTGACGAAGGCGCACAAGAGGAGGAGGGAGGCGCACCGTCGCCACTGGAGTTCAGCATACAAACTATAGGATACCACTTTGCTCGTGCGGCCGTCCTCGTTCTTTGACGGATCCGCCCAAGCTTCCATGGTGGATGAGGATGGGCCTCTAAAACGGGCTCGAGCACGGTGCAGCGTTGTTGCCGGCCCATGAATCTGTGCGCGCAATAGATGTTCACAGTTCACATTGATGAGAGGCTCTTCCAGCTCCATGCGATGCCTCCACCAGTGGACAGCGGCCGACATGAGAGGGACGGCGTGGGAAGAACGAGGGTACATGGCACGATGTTGCTTTTAAATATGCGCAAGAGGAAGGAAGCCGGCCATTTCCACCCGTATGACCAGGAACCATCTCGGATCACGCGCTTGATCTACTCTCGCGTCCCATCATCTCCTTCCTTTCTTGTTTCTTTAATAATCTCTCTCCCCCCTCTATAAATAGGCTGTCCTTCTTCCTTCTCCTTCTCCTTCGTCGCAGGTCTCTGCTCAAAGAATAGGGATGGTTCGTGGAAAGCTTGAAGTGCTCCTCGTCGGAGCCAAGGGCCTCGAGAACACCGACTTCCTCTGTGCGATCTTTATCTTCGACCAAAGATCCGATCTTTGATCCTCTTTTTCATGATCTTATTAGGAGTGCCAATGAAAATTTCTCCTTTTTTACTAATATCGTTGATTTCTTGGCCTTTCTTCCATTTCTTGATCTTGCATTTGCATCGGTGCTTGATTTCGGAATTCGATGTGTATGTTTAAGGCCGTGTTGGTACTTTGAATCCGGATCTTTATGGCTTCTTTTAATGAATTGGAACAGGTAAAATGGATCCTTATGCGGTCCTCACATGCCGGACGCAGGAGCAGAAGAGTAGCGTTGCATCTGGTATGATCTATAGCACATTATAGTCAGTAGTATCAAGAATTTTCATGATGTATTATAGCACATTACCATCAGATATCTGCATGATGTATAAATTATTGAAGTTGGTAGATCTGAATGGCCCTTTTATATAAATTTTAGCTTCTTTCTTAATGAATGATGCAATAAATGGGCCAACAGAATAGTAATATAATTCTTGTGATTTTATATACAATATTGTAATTAGATTGGAACTATCTAATTTCTATCATTACACAGATCATAGCTGACTTACCCGGTAGCAGATCTCATTCTTCATGTTTTCTGTATGAAATGTGATGGTCATGATAGCCAGCTACCTCTATTACTGGCCCTCCCATAAACCGAAAAATTGAATTAGCATCGCTTTCTTATGTATGTATCTTTGTTACTATTTGGTGATGCTTAAGATGTATTGATACAGGAAAAGGCAGCGATCCTGAATGGCATGAGAGCTTTGTGTTCACTGTTTCTGACAGTGTTCCAGAACTCACTATTAAGCTCATGGACAGTGATACTGGCTCCAGTGATGATTTTGTGGGAGAAGCAACGTAAGTTTGTTGTTTCATTTATGATACAAATAGTTTGGAGAATACTACTAGTTACTGCTGAATTTACATGTTTCACATAATGAGAAGCTGTCATTCATAGTAATTACTCTGTAGTCTTCTGTTTCTGTTGATGATTCACATTTTCTTATAACATAACAAAGAGACCTATACTTTTCCTGCTAATTTGACCACATTGTTAGTTTATGTTGTTACTATAGCTGAGCTTTCTTACCATCTGATCCCATCATCTGCTTTCCAGCATTCCTTTAGAAGCAGTATTTTTCGAAGGAAATATTCCTCCTACTGTTTATAATGTGGTCAAGGATCAAAAATATTGTGGAGAAATTAAAATTGGTCTCTCCTTCATTGCAGAGGTATGTATCTACTCAGCTGTTACTACGTTCCTAGTTGTATTTTTTGAGTCTCTAAAGTACCTTATTGCTAGAACTTGAGATGGAAGACTAATTGTTAAATTGTCCTTCATTAAAACTGTCACTTTTATCCTGCCTACATTAGTTTAGTACAGCAGGAAGCTGATCCATGGGAACAACAAAAATTTCAAATAAGGAAAATAACTAAAACAAATGCAGAAATATTTTAATGTGAGAATGATTATGTGAAGTTTGATCTGAAAAGCAACCATACTTTATCAGAGACGACTAAACAAATTGAATGCTATTATTAAACTTCAAGTTATGCGGAGATGTGTTAGAAATTTATTAAAAAAATATCAAGTGTACTATATGAAATTAAGCTACTTGTATTATAAGCTATAATTTGGTGTAAAGCTTAAAGCTATCACGTGGAAATATTTTTTTTTTTTTTGTGAATCATTGTTTGGTAGAGTAATTGTAAAGACTTGTATGAATTATAATTCTATGTAGTGTACTACAAAAATTACTTGCATTTAATATATAATTTTATATACTATAGAAATCAAATAGTGCAAGTTCCATTTCTTTTCAGATGAATCTTTGTTGGTTTCTAATAAATTTAATTGTTACAACTGTACTATCTAAGTATATTTAAACTTGTATGGTCGACTTGACACCACCTTTCGGATGAAAGTTTTGGTGGAGGAGAGAACTATTGCTAGAAGATCAAGCGTAAAACCGAAAAGAAATGACCTCTATTGCTTGTAAAGCTAAAGTGCTAACTACAAGACTTAAAGCAACGAAATTGAAAGTGCGTAAAGAAACTAATAGACACATAGGGTGCACATTGTCTTTGGACAGCACCTGGGTGCTCTCGGCAATTTGCGGAACGCTATCGATTTCAGTCTCCTCCTCTCTTGTTGCTAGAACCTCCACCTAAGGTTTGAACAGCAAGCAGTAGGCTTCGGGGGCTTCTCACAGCAGCTGGACAGAGCTTGATGCAGGGCTTGGGCTGCTGGAACTTGAGGAAAAAGGCTGCGGTTGAAAGGATTGGCTGCACCTTGCAGAATTCCTCCTTTCTCTCTTCTCCTTTTCTCTTCTCTCTTTCGAGGGTTGGAATAGCTAGAATCGATTGGAGACTTATTGGAGACTTCTTTGATTTCCTTAGATGGGGAGACACTCCTTGTTTTATATGGTGAGAGACGTCCCAAGTCCTTAAGGTTTAAGGACTTTTCTTGTAGGGCGTGCACAAGTAGTATTTTACCTCCTTGCTTGATGGCTGCCCCTATTTGGGCGAAGACTGTTCTAATCCAAGTCTTATTAGAACTTGGATTGAGATAAGTGGGCTACTGTGATATGGGTTTTGCTTGGCCAAATAGGGCTTTGAGGCTTCAAGAGGCCCTTGGGTAAGGATCGTTCAAATTAGTTGAATGAGGTGAAGATCATTCCTAATCAATATAATGATATTTATTTGTTCACATTGTTGAGCCTACAAAATTTAAGTGTAAATACTATAAAACACATGTTGATCGAATATATATATATACACACACACATGTCCTCGTCGTGTTTGTGTATGTGCTTCACAAATATTTGGGGAAAGATAAGTTAGATTAAAAGTTTGCCGATACTTTGTGAGCATGGAGGATCCAATTAAAGAGATTTACCACAGTTGAAACACAAGAGAAACATCAACAGGAAAATAATACTGCTGTTGATGTATGAGAAAGCTCCCCTCAAGATGCATTACTGTTGAGGAATCAACAACAAAATTGTCATTCATGCAGTTTGCAATTCTAGTTCCATCGAACAACTAGATAGCAATCAAGTTGATCTTTTGGACATGATTCTCTCCATATGACGGGATAAGACTATTTGTTTATCTGCTAGACTCCACAGTGTACAAGTATCTGTCTACTCATTGTTTTTGCAATTTCTGAGACAAATCTGCAACTGATCTTGGTCTTATGATGGGAGAAGGGTGTTTGCTAAAGGAAATTAGAGCCACTCAAGTCATTAGAAGGACTTTTATTGTTTCTGACTTTCTGTAGCATCATTTTCTGGAGTTTGATCATATAAGCGTGAATCATCATACATCTCATGTTCCATATAGAGGCTAGTTTTTCTTATTTTCTCAAATTTTCATCCATTTTCTAACCTTTTTTTTTCAGTGTTGCAAAAAGAAAGAACAATTCCTGAGTAGAAAAGACTCCTTCAGTACTTCAATATTTTGTTTGATGAAAGAATATGAACATCTATTTCTCTCAAAAAAAAAAACATGTTGATATCATGGAATAAGAGTAGGTCGGACTAATCATGTAAGGGGCGTCCTATCTTTCTTTTGCATTGCCGAAGTTGATAATTGGTTTCCAAGTTGACAGCTTGTTAAATGCTTCATCAAATAATGTTCTCATTGTAGAGCAGCCAAGGTAGGAGCTCAAATAGAGTGTTCTAAGTTACGCTTGTCTTTGCAGGAAACTCGCGGGAGTGATTTCCTTGCCCAGAGATATGGTGGATGGAATGAGTCATCCTGAAAGATATTTTCATGCTCTAGTAAAATCTTAATATAGCCAGAATGTACACCAGGATATTTGGTTCCAAAAGGCATTGTTCTAGGAGACATTGTCCAGTCAATAAAGCTACTAGAAAACTTAAAACAGGAATGGGTACTTTCTATGTCCCACTTCATCGATCGATTATTCACACTTTCAACTACTTGGGTCTAGTCTTTGGTTCGTTTAATGTGAAATGGTTGTTTCTGTATCTTTTCTTTCTTATCGCAAGAACTATATCTACTTGGGTCTAGTGTTTGTTTCGTTTAATGTGAAATGGTTGTTTCTGTATCTTTTCTTTCTTATCACAAGACCTATATCTACTTGGGTCTAGTGTTTGTTTCGTTTAATGTGAAATGGTTGTTT